AAAATCGAATCTAGATAGCGACATATTCCACCAAGCTTGACGCCGATTTAAAACTCGAGCCATCATGAAATACTCCAAATTCTTATGATTCGTATATACGGTTATTGGATGTGCAGCTCCTTCAAGAAAGTGACGCCATTCTTCGAAAGAATCCACTATAGCAAGAAGTTCCTTATCGTGGATCTCATAATTGATTTCAGCAGCAGAGAACTTCCGAGAATAGAATGCAACTGGATGGAGCTTCTTATCTTCACTCATTTGTGAAAGCACAGCTCCCAAAGCAAAATCTGAAGCATCAGTTTCTAAATAGAAGGTCTTTGTAAAGTCTGGATGTACCAAAATTGGAGCTGTAGTAAATACTGTCTTCAAATCTTGAAACGCCTTCTCCGCCAAAGGTCCCCATTCCAACTTATCTTTGCATGTTAATCGAGTGAGAGGAGCAGCAACTTGAGAATAATTCTTGATGAAGATCCGATAGAAGTTAGCAAAACCAAGAAAGCATTGTACGTCTCTAACCGTCTTCGGAACCTCCCAAGACATGATTGCTTCTACTTTCTTGGGGTCCATCTTTAAACCTTTTGTAGTCGCAATGAACCCCAAAAATTCCATCTCCGTCTGGTGAAATAAACACTTTTCTAATTTGGCATATAGTCCTCGCTTGCGTAGTTTCTCCAAGACCAAACGAACATGCTCCTCATGCTCTTCCTCGTTTTTAGAGAATATTAGAATATTGTCTAAGTAGATGACAAAAAAATCGTCGAGGTATTCTCGAAAGATGTCATTCATCATATGTTGGAAAACCGCTAGAGCATTGGTAAGACCAAAAGGCATGACATTATATTCGAAATGACCATACCTTATACGGAATGCTGTCTTCCACTCATCTCCTTCCTTGATTCGTACGAGATTATAAGCTCCCCTTAGATCAATTTTTGTAAAGATCTTCACACGTCCAAGTTGTTCTAAGAGACTAGAAATCAAGGGTAATGGGTAACAATTTTTCTTTGTTACCTTGTTGAGGCCTCGATAGTCCACACACATCCGTAATGATCCATCTTTCTTCTTCACAAATAAGATGGGTGCTCCAGCTGATGATTTTCAATGACGAATGAAGTTCTTGGCTAGATTCTTGTCGATGTACTTTCGTAACTCTGCCAACTCCGTTTGCGATAGATTGTAGATTGGGCCAAAAGGTGGTTGTGCTCCTTCTTGCAAGTCTATGGCACAATCATATGGTCGGTGTTCCGGTAGTATGTCAGCGTTCTTCTTTTGAAACACGTCTTCAAAATCTTTATATCGCTCTGGTATACTTACTGTTGAGATCTTCTCCTCAGTAGTTGGAGCCGCATAAATGACAAATGGAGTGCCTTCCTTAGATGATCTTATAAACGCTCTTGCTCTAATGAATAAGGATTTCTTTTTTCGAGGTTTTTTACTAGGTTTTTTCTTGGGTGGTTTTGTGGGAAAAGTCATCTTCCGCAACCTCCAATCTATCAATGGATTATGTTTTTCCAACCAAGAAAGACCAAGAAAAATAGGATTTGATGGGGTTTTAATAATATTAAAAATAATATGACTACTATGGTCTTTAAACGTTACTTCTATAGGTTTTGATTCATGGGTGATGCTACCAGGCAATAAAGGTCGCCCATCTATGACCTCAACATGAACAGGTTTTGATTTTTGTACTAAAGGGATCTTATGACGCTTTGCAAATTCTTCGTCTAAAAAACAAGCAGATGCTCCTGAGTCTAGTAGTGCTAAGGTTCTCAGTTTTTGAGGGCCGATAAACAGAGGGATTGTAAAACAAAGGGCAGGTTGGGCAGAAAGAAAGGAACCTGATTGTTGTTGGGATATTTCATTGTCCACCCGCACGGTTCCTACTGTGGCTGGGCATCCTCGTTTTCCTGAACAAATACTCCCCTAGTCTTGACTATGCCTCGATTTTGCTTTTTGGGGCAGTTTCCGACTTTGTGGCCTTCTCCACCGCAATACAAGCATAAATTTTCCTCCATACGTCGCTTTTTTTCTTCTATAGTAAGAGATTTGATATGTACCGCATCAATTTGCATGTCTTCCACCTCTGAATGCAAATTTACACTGCTTGCCGACATAGTTGAAGCATGGCGAATTGTATGTTGTCTTGAGCATTGGTCTTAGCGACGTTGGAATAGGCGATTATCGCACTTCACAGCTTGGTTAATGGCTTCATTGAGCGTTCGTGGATCAGGAAGAGTTAACAGCAAATCCTTCACATCATCTCTTAAACCCCAATAGAATTGACTCATCAACGTTTCTTCATCCCAATTGATGTCGCATACTAATTGCCTGAAATCCGAAGCATAGACTGATGTAGAACGCATCCCCTGTCGTAGCGACCGGATCTTTGTTGTAGCCCATCGAACTTTATCGTGTTCACCAAATGCTTCCGCAAATGCTTCCAAAAAGATTTCGAAGTTGTTTAATATGGATGATCGTTTCTCAAACAAAAGAGCAAACCATGATAGAGCTTGACCCGTAAGTAAGGTTCCAACAAGCCCAACACGTGACTCCTCCGTTGGATATCGTTCGGGCTGTAAAACTGTTATCAACCTGATTTGATTGACGAATCCTCGAAACTTGGAATGTGTTCCATCAAACTTATCTGGAAGGCTAACTCGAGGCTCCTTATGTTGTAGAACTAGTGATTCTTGTCGAACCTGAGGTAAAGTTGTTTCTCCAAGTGTCGAAATTTGAGGCTGGTGTAGTTTAGATTGTGCTATCCCAGATACTCCATCATTATGAAGCCTTGCCACCACTCCTTCAATCTCTGCAGTTCTTTGTGATAACGTAGCGAGGGCATTCATAATAGCATCTAACTTAGACTCCGAACTTTCTGTCATACTAATGTCTTGACCTCCGGCCATTCTAAAACAAGGACAAAAATGATCCTATAAGAGGCAATATTGGTTTATAGGAGGGTAATCCACAACCTATAAAACGCCTTAAGAATTTCAAGAAGAGGGGTAATCCACTCTCTCCAAGAAGAATAAGACTCCAATATTGTAACAGAAGAAGTATCAGTTTAGAGGAGGGTAATCCGCAACCTCTAAAAAATGCTAGTATACCTTCAAGTAGAGGGGTAATCCACACTCTACTAAGAAAGAACTAGCTCTGATATCTCAAGTTAGTGTAGTCTCGACAAACTGTCACGGACACAAAATACAGACTTGAAATCTAACAAGAAGTTCAAGAAGAAGTGGCAGAACTAGATTAAACAGATGAGTACAAGAACAACACCAGAAAGGTGAGTTAGAACTCCAAGAAATGTGTTGTCGAGACTGAAGAACTCTTCAGCCTCGATCCCTATATATACTCCTACTTAGGAAGCTTCTCGAGCTACTTCTATTAACTAGGAAGCTTCTAGAAGGTTCTAGAGGCTTCCTTTCTAGAAGGTTCTAGAAACTTCTCGAGCTACTTTTATTAACTAGGAAGCTTCTAGAAAGTTCCAGGGGATTCCTTTCTAGAAGCTTCTAGAAACTTCTCTTCTAGAAGGTTCTAGAGACTTCCTTTCTAGAAGCTTCTAGAAACTTCTCTCTAAAAGGTTCCAGAGGCTTCTCTTCTAGAAGGTTCCAGAGGCTTGTTTTCTAGAAGGTTCTAGAAACCTCTCTCTAGAAAGTTCTAAGGAATATGTCCCTAACAGTCCAAAAGACACAAAATTATATTTAAAATTTCTATACTTGGTTCAAAATACAATCTTTAATTTATCTCGTTTTTTTGATGTATACTAAGTTGTATGTTCTTTAAAAATCTATTTTTGTATATATCTTTAATTGATTTAATTGATCAAAAAATCATGATATCAATGGTAGAAGATACTTATATTTGATAGTGATTTTATTGAGACTTTGATAATCTACATACATTTGCAATGATTTATCTTCTTTCTTTACAATAAAGATAAGAGTTTGTCCTAGAAATTTATCTACCTAATATTTTTTATTTAGGTAATTTATGTATATCCATGACATATAGTGTTATATATATACATAGTTAAAAGCATATTTTTGCTTGAAAGATATCATTACAATAGTAATTGATTTTTATATTAAATTATTGTACTAATATTCTTTAATCAACATGTATTAACAAAACTAATTATTTAATTGTCAAGTACATAGTTGATTATTAAATTACCTACTATGTTTATATTAGATAGAATTATTACAATAGGAACATTTATAATCAATGAATATTTCAAACAATATTTAGTTTTATGTCCTCCATTAATTACATAAAAAATAAATTTTCTATTTTAACATGTAATATTAATATTCATATATATACATATATTAATTATATAAATGATTTCTAAGAATGTAAAAAATGATTATTGAATAATCCTCTAGAAATGTTTTTTTTTTAGTGTTAATTTTATAACCATGGCTTCTTTTTTATCTATATATATACATATATATAAATTTAAGTTTGAATTTTTTAAATGTACAATAGAGTAAAGAATTTCAAGTACTAATAATTTTAAGTTGGTAGTAATAATATGATTCAGGGTATTTCATTTTTTTTATTTTTATTTTGAATACAATAATGATCTAATTTGTTATAAAATTAAAACATCCTTGACCCATAAGATACATTTTGTTGAACTAGTCATTTCTATGAATAATAATAACATCAATACAGCTAAACTGATACATCACTCTCATTTAATGTTGTTATTGAGAAAGGGGTTTATTTTTCAAGTTTATTTTATTTTGTTTTATTTTTTCCTTCTAAAATTTGAAAGACTTGTTTGTGATGAAAGGTGCAAGTTCCAATGCAATGGAAACAGACAACCAGTCAAATCCATGTGTCCATCCATGATTGACAATGATCAGAGTGACTGATCTCTTTCATAAT